TTGAATGAAAGAATGAGCTATTAAATTGAAATATTAAATGAAATAACTGAATTTAAAGCGATCATGTAAACCCTGCAGTAAATGTTGGGAGCTGTAGCTGATTGAACATATTTTCATCGTCTGTTTTGTATGCTTAAATACAATTGCTTGATGTAAGTAAACACTTGATTGATATTCTGAATACTTTAAAATCTGCATATGCATCACAGAATACCGAACAATTAAAACTTAATTTCAGCGTAGTTTGATTACATGTAAATTATTTCAATATTCATTTTTTGCCTGTTCTGTTTGCGCAGTGCATATTTTAAATATTCACTTTTTGCATGCGTATCGCCCTTGATTGGACTGTGAGATGAGGCGGACTCTGCAATTTCTTCCATGAAAAAGGATTGCCTTATAAATATTATTTGTGCCACAGCTCTTCCCCTGCAGATTATTTTCTAAATGTTGTGTACCCTTATTGAAGACAAGGAAAAAAAAAAAAAAAACAACCAAAAAAAACCCCCAAACTGCTGCAGCCCTCCTTTATCAGCCCGGCACAAGGAATATGCTTACATGGTCGATGGGCATGTCTAAGAAGGCTTGTTGGTTGTAACTAGTCCCTAAAGAAATGTTTCCATCTTTTCTGCACTATATTTCTCTCTTGCTTGCATGAGCTCTCGCTCTCTTCCCTTCCTCCTCACTCTACATGATTTATTTTTTTTTTTTCCTGGTTCCTGGACTTTTTCTGAGATGTTTTAATATTACGGATAACTATTACAAATATTTTTAAGTTGACCATTTTCAGCGCATTCAATTCAGGTGTTGCGGAATACAGATGGCAAAATTCTGCCTTGTTGGTATATTTGCAGAACCTCTCATAAAAACTGAAGAGACTTCTTCAGGACCCAATCCGGGCACATGATTTTGATCTTTAAAATCACCTTCTTTCTGAACATCCAGTGGGAGGAAACCCTGGGTGTTTGATTCTCTTGGGTGGTGCAAACCAACAACAGCCTCTCTGAAGTTAATAGATATTTTTATTTTTTAATTTCTTATCTATTTTATTTTAAAATGAAATGCTTTCCTGACATCTTGTCAGTTAAGTCACATTCTTAAAATAGAAGCAGGCGGCAGGTCCGGATTCTTCTCTGCCTCGACCATTTTTGCCCCACGTGGCCCTTGTCGTATCATTCACCTTTGTCTCCTTGTCCGTACAAGAGACGTACTCATAACCATCTTTTTTAAATTTTTGCAGGATACATAGAAAGGTTGTGTAAGTGCATATAATAACAGTATTATTTTATTATATGAGAATTTGAACTTCATGTTGTACATGCTGAACAGCTCACAGGGAAAGGTTTTCCTGTCTGTCCTCCAGAGTTAATCGCAATTTGAGAGTTTTCATCTTGAAGGTCATATTTCTGTTGGCTGTCGCTTTGACCAAACAAGTGGCTGAACTTCATGGTTTGCAGGCAGATTTCCTTATCTCTCTTTTTCAAGAGACATATAAGCCTTGATTGCTGGAGTTATTGTGAAGCGAGCAATAAGGAACAAGGGGAAGGAGGGGTGGGAAGACGCTCACTTCAAGACCGGTACCCTGTAAATGCCATTTTCGAAAGCAAATATTGTACCTTGTAATTGTAGCACAAGAACAAAAGGGAGGGTGTTTTGCTTGGGTGGGGTTTTTTTTGGTTTTTTTTTTGCTTGTTTGTTTGAGGAGCTGATAAACTCTAAGTGAAGTGTGTTAGCAATAGCAAGAGGTCTTCCCATGATACAAACCGGCATTATTAGCTTGAGGTCTCTCTCTTGTTGTTCCTGTAGAATAAAAACAGAATAAAACCAGCACAACTTCCACGCCAAAGCGACTCAAAATAACAAGTACCTTCTAGCAAAGCTAGTTCGAAAAAACCTGGCCATTCTTGACTGATTTAATACTGTTTGCCTAAGTAATGCAAACTTGTTACTTTTGTTTGAAACCTCCACCTTATTTTAAAGCAGTTCCATTTATAATAATTTAGGAAGTATCTGTGATTGTTATTTCCAGTTCTCTTGGGTTCTGAAGAGCATTTCTTGGATAGTCTTTTTTTTTCCCCCCTTTTTTTTCCCCCTCAGTACAGATCTGAAAATAATGAGCTCACAGCTTTAAGAATAGGGGCCATAACGAGATTGATGTGTGTTGATTAAAGGGGAAAAAAAACTTGAAATATTTGTGGAACAGTAAAGAACTGACGGCTTTAAGGCCATGACTCCCTTTTGCAGGTCCATCAAATGAAAAAGTTATTTTACATTTTTGCCGTGGCTAAAGCAAATGTCATTCAAATAGCCTGTAGAGTTATAACTTTGGAAAAACAAAATAATGATGCAGACAGTCTTTTTAGCGAGTCGTATAGCCAGTTTCTGTTCGGTTTCCAATTTCCCTTCTAAGTACTAAGAATGTATACTTAATCCATAATTGAAAAGAAAAATGTGCCGGAAAAAAAGATATACATGATAGCTATTCAAGGTACACATATTTTAACGTGTACTTATTTGTCTTAATTAAAGCGTCGCTTTAGAAGCAGCATTACAACACAATGTATTTTAATGACAAATCCTTCGTAGAAAGCACATTGAAAAGCTTCCGATACGTAGATGTGCATGATAAAAACGGTGGTGCGCTGCCTCTTGCCCGGTGATCAAGAGGTTAACCTTAATTCCTCTCTTCCCCTCCCTTAAACAAGTTGGGTGAGGAGGGCTGCAAATTAGCGCTTGGAAGACACAGCAGGGAGATTAGCTTTAGGGAGGAGAGGACTCCCCGCTCCAGCTCTTAGGAACCTCACCTGGAGAGCGCATTTCCTTCGCTACTTAAGCTAACGTATTATGCCTTCTTGTCACGAATTATTATTCCTTGAGGAAAAGTCCTCGCCGGCTCTGTCTTGCAGTCTGCTGACTCATTCCGCGTGTGCGGTAGAAGAGGAGACAGCAATAAGACTGTAGCAAGAGGGAGGCAGAAAACAGCTTCGGCTTTGGCCAGAAACAGGAGTCCCCAGTACGGTACGTCGTGGCCCACATGGGGGCCTACAAGAAAGCTGGAGAGGGACTTTTTACAAGGGCACGTACTGATAGGACGAGGCGAGATGGCTTTAAACTGAAAGAGGGGAGATTTAGATTAGGTATCAGGAAGAAATATTTCCCTGTGAGGGTGGTGAGCCCCTGGCGCAGGTTGCCCTGAGAAGCTGTGGCTGCCCCATCCCTGGAGGTGTTCAAGGCCAGGTTGGACGGGGCTTGGAGCAACCTGGGCTGGTGGGAGGTGTCCCTGCCCAGGGCAGGGGGGTTGGAACCAGGTGATCTTCAAGGTCCCTTCCAACCTAAACCATTCTGGGATTCTGTGATATGGGACTCCTTCACCCACCAAGGGGAAGGATTCCCATGTTTCCGCTGTGCTCACACTGGCCTGAGGAACAGCTACAGCATTGCCCGGTGCTTCCTAAGATACCCTCAAGGTACAGAACATGGCATCCCTATGATGCTGTTGGACAACATTCATTGGGCAAGCACAACGGACAACTTTCACACACTGACAAATCACAATGGTGCTTTTTCGCCACTGGGGCAAAGAAGTCATCTCCTTCCCAAAATTTGAGCATCTACACCTGATCTATTATGGAAGTGGCTGACAGGTGAAAAGGGGGAAACTTTAACAGTAATGGAAAAAATCCAGAAGTCATTCTGTGTGGAATCAATCTTTTACTTCACAGCTGAAATAAAATTGGGGTATTTTGTTGGTTTGCATACCTAAAACTAATCACCCTATCTATTTTTGGAGGTATTTTTAAAGAGTTTAAAACACGCAGCAGAAGAAAAGGCGTACAAATAGATTCAGTTTCTCACAGTGCAGAGCGATTGTCACATCGTGGTTGTCTACATCTAGTGTAAGGGAGGCGTTAGCCCAATGCAGAATTTCCCGTTGTGATTAGTGTTTGCCAGCGCAGTGCTGCATATATTCTCAGGAAGCTTCTGATGGATGGCTTGGTTCCTCCTGCTTCTGTGGAATTCCCATGAAAGAGGGGTATATGCAGCCTTCCGCAGTATCTCCGTCCCATGTAGGTATCCGCTGTAATTGCGGGGAGATGGTGTATGGTCTCTGGGTAGGAAGAAGGTGGCAGTCTGTGCGATTATGGAAGGAAGAAGCTGTTGTTCAGCAAGCCCTCAGCCCACCAAAGTAATGGTCTCAACATGCCACGATACAGCCCTCCTGGGTTAATGGGTAAAGGTCAAGTTCCACATCCACGCTGCTTCCTTCCTACTCTACTGTGTCTCTCGGTGACACTCAGGTGGTGCCTTCTAGAGCACATTTAGAGGTAATTTTTGCTTGTGGATTTTGCTCTTTTTCTCCTTGTTTTGCCTCATTGACGCCATCGTCTTCACCATAGGATCTTCAGAAAACCCTCGGGAGCCTGTGCTAATACTGGGCTGAGGGAGTTTGAAGGCCAAGCAGTGCCACCCCCTACCTTTTTGAGTCCCTGGGCATTCGTGACTGTTTAGCATGACTCAACTGGATTATCAGCTTCAGAGAGCTGTATTGAGGGGTCCATGAGGGCAAAACTCAATGCAAACTTCTACAAGGGCCTCTGAAGTCTTGTGAGATTTGGGTTTAGTCTTTTCCATAGTGGACTTTGAGGTTCCTACCGATGTTATTTGGGCAGACCTTTATCTGTGCTGTGGCCGGTATCTTTCAAAGGATCAATTTGTTACGATCCGCAGTACCTTCAGCTCCCTTTGGATTCAACTAGATCTGGTGGGTCTCAACACCAAATATAACACTTGCTGAAGGTTTTAAACGATGAAGATGGTTACGGGTAGTCACTGTCTTACCTCATAGTTGTGCCATCTGAGCATGAGCACGTCAGATTTCCCCAGTAAAACTTCAGCATCACTTTTGGCAAGACTTGAAGGACTCCCATCTGCCCATTAACAAAATTTGATGCAGCTCTTCGGTTGTCCTCAGCAAGTAACATGTTTCCTTTTTCTTGCAGGTATCAGAGATTTGAAAAAGCATTTCTGCTAGCTGTTGACATAGGTGCTCGGGACCTGTTCATGGTGAGTCGTTTCTGGAGACAGAGGCTGTTGTCAGGATGTTCATTTTGTAAACATGAAAATAGATCCGAGTCATTTGCGGTCTTAGAGTCATACTGAAGACGGAACTATTCTACCTAGTTTGCCCTTTGCCATCATGAAACTCATCAATAGGAACTGAGTGTCTTTGGAGTCATTGACATTTTCCCTACCCTGGCCTAAGGGCTATTCTTTATTTTCCAGGAATTAACGTATATGTTTCTGAACTTTCCCCTTCTTCATCTGTCCTGATGTGGGTGAATGTCATCTTTCACTCTAATAAGCTTATACGTTTCTAATCCGTTCCTTTAAGAAGTACAACTGCTGAGTCCCGGACACAAGAGCCGGCCGTGTCCTGGGGATCCTGAATGCTCTTAGTTTGTCTCTTAGGGTTTTGTGAAAAGTGACAAATTATGAACGCTTCCACAGGTACTTTTAAAACAACAAAGCTCAGCAGCATCAACCCAAGGGTTTTTACATTTCATGCGCTCTCTGCCCCCTCCCATTTAATTAGCTACAAAAGTAAAATTAACCAGCTCTTAAAAGGTCCTCTGTGTGAGCTCTGCAGGAGGCTCTTGTTTTATAAGATCTTGCACCACAATGTCACAGTGAGGTCAGATGGACAAAGCCAATCGTGCTTTCCTGGTCTCTCAGCATGTTGCTGCTCCACAGCTGATTTCATTGTTTTCAAAGAAACAATAGGAAAGGGGCTTGTTGAAAAAAAAAAAAAAAAAGGCCCTTTGAACGATTCGTTTGCTTGACTCTTTTGCATAATGAAGACATTCTGTTGTTTAAATTAAGCTTTGACACTAGATGTTAATATCATTTATCCCATTAAGTCACTTGCCCTGCTAGTTTGATCTTGATATTTAAATTGTATGTTAAATTACACAATTAAATCCTGCTTTTATGGGTTATGAAAATTCCCTTCTAATTATATAAAAAGTTGTGTGAACCTTTTGATGTTTTTTTCACGGCTCTAATCATCTGGCTTGTTCCATCTAATTAGAAAGATGTGAATACCGCGATAAACTTTTCTAAGTATGCATCAAAAGAATGTGATGGAAATGTCAGACTTTTAGGAAATTCATTACACATTTTATGTTTACTCTCTTCGATTTTTCCTCTTTTTAACTCAGCTTTTTCCTTTTCTCTTTTTCTTTAATGGAACTTCTTCGATACAAATTTTATACCTAATCAAGCTGAGCACTGCAGCCACGTAGAAGATTCGACCGTAACCTGTCTGCGGCAGGTTACAGCTTTTTGGCGGGGGGCTCTCCCACCGTAGAGATAATAAATTCTTCCTCGGTCATTTCAGCCGTTCTGGCAGAACAAGTGTCCCGGCATTTGGCCAGCCATCTCAAGGGCCCTCTCTCGTATGGCTGAGAGCACGTCCTACATGATCTTTTCCTCTTTCCTTCCCTCCGCTGACAGCAGGACTGAGGGGCCACCTCTGTCCCAGGGTGGGGAACACCAGTGTTGGTTCAAGACATGGGTGCAAAGCTGCTGATAAGAGGGAAGGACCATCAGTGCCTGCTCCACAAGTGGTAACATGTCCTCCTCTCAACAAAAAGGTTCTCCAGCTGTCTTCACGAGGAGTTTCAGTGTTCACTGAGAAATTAGTTCCATCCTTCCTGCTCTTCCTTGTTTTCTCTTTCCTCTCTCAACACCTACTCTCCATTTCCCATCTCACCAATGCTCTTAAACATAAATATATATTTATTTCCGCATAGTTCCTCCTGGCTTACATTATTGTGGGATCAAAACCAGTTCTATATTGTCCTCGTTCTGCTTGCATTACCTCTGAGATTCCTCACGCTTTCCCCTAAATTACGCAACAAGCAGCACACCCACCTGCCTCTTCGAATCCTCGTTTAACTCTCTCCCTTCTCTGGGCAAATGTCCTTTCGCTAACTCATCTCCTAAGTAAGGGACTAATGAACAAACTTCACAATAAGCCAACGATGGCACCGCTGCGAGACTGCTAAGGGCAGGACTCGAGAAGTTTAAAGGTGGATAGCTCATAAAAGGTATTTATTTGTGCCAGGGTAATTTCTAGGGAATTGGGCTTCATTGCACTAAATACTGTGTGAAAATTAGGTAACCCCTTCCCTGAAAGCTTACAGTCCTTCTAGGTACTAGGTATAACGATACTAGTGCTAAGCAAGGTTTGTGCGTCCTTCGCTTCTGCTTAACACAGAATAATTTGTCTATACTGTTTATATAGGTCAAAATGCAATTAATAACATACAACTTGACTTTACCTATATTTAAAGCATTTATAATTATGAGCAGTACGAGTAACTAATATATAGGTCAATTATTCGTCCTGTTGTTTTACAGACCGACCAAATCCGTTTATAAAACCGCAGGTGGCTCTAGGAGTCACGCCACCTTATTCCCAGTCAATGTAATGGGATTTCAAGAAGAAACAGTAGACTAAAGAGAGATATCTGATGACATAAGCGAAATGCACAAGAAAAAAAGAAATGTATTTATTAAAGGGGAACAGGGAAGGAACAGAAAAGGCAAGGCTAGAGAGGAGCAGATATAACAGAGGCTGAGGAGGATCCAAGAGTTGAATACCCGTCTTCTGAGACTTCTAAGGAAAAAAAAAATCTCTAAGGAGAATTTATCCTGAGCATCTTTTTTCCCTGAACAGCATTCCTGTTATTTGTTTTGAGATCGCAAAGAAGTTGGAGAGAACGCTATCTGAGGGCTGATTTCTTTCATGGAAAAAGAAAAAAAGGAAGGGAAAAAAAAAAAAAAGCTTAAAAGTTAGTCCTCTAACTATAGCGTCACTAGTGTGATGCCATAACAAGACACACCAGTCACTGCTGTGTCCCCCCGTCAGCTTTACCCCTCACGTCACGTCCAAGTCCGTCAATTATTACCGTCTCCTACAAAGTTCAATAAAAAAATGCGGCTGAAAAGGACATCATATCGGGAACAACAGCTACATTTATTGGACAGTGACTGATCCAATCTGTGACAGAAAAGATCAAGCAGTAGAAGGGTTGTTAGCTTTAAATCCTTTTGTAGTGCGCTCCAGCTCTCAGCTGCCGAAAATTCAAAAGGCCATCCCGCATACCGAAAAAAAAAAACCCAACCCAAAAAAAACGCAAGGAAAAGACACTTTAATAAAACTGTCAGATCTTGGGTGATACACTGATGAGGAAAGTGCGTGTTTCGAGGAAACGTTGGAATTTTGCCCAGAAATATCCTATAGACAAATGCGCATCAGTGTTTCAAATGACTTTGGCTCACCGAGGGCCGGCGCTGTGAGTCACAGAGACGAGGGCAGAAAGGAAGTAGTCCAAAAAGTAATCAACCTGATAAATGATAAAATGCAGCCCTTTCAGCAAACTCCCGATAAGCAGCTGGAAATTGTTTTTATTGTCACCGTTGCTTTTGAGAGGGACGTGGTCTCTGAGCTGATAAGTTCTTAGATAATTGTGTGAAAAAATCTGTAATTAATATTCAGCTAATTTAATCTTTTTTTTTTCTGTTGTTTTTTAAGGCACCCCGTAATCAAGTGTTTCTCCTTTCTCTTTTATTTATTTTTCTAGTTTTATTCTGCTCAGAGATTTGTAAATTCTCAGCAAAATCCAATTTTCCTGGCTCATTTGAATGATGAACATCTAAATTTGATCTGAGATGGTCTAATTAGCAGGTTTTAGATCTGTAATCTTTTCTTTCTCAAGCTTGTTTAGAGACAGAGATAAGAGCTACCTTTTTTTTTTTTTTTTAAGTTCATTATGACAGCAACTTCAGGAACCACGAAGAAAGCCACTTACCAGCCTACTGCTCTATCTTTATTTCTTACAAAGCCCCTGTTAGTTAACGATGGATATGTAGCATCTTTCCACTTCTTTCCTCAGAACATGGCCAAACCCAAGATCTGAACGCGATGGGTGTTTTGATGCACATCCTCTTAACTGGAAGACCTTTGTCATTTTCTGCAGTTGTTTCCATCCCCTCCCCAAGTTTATTTAAAATCGCGTCGAAGTATACAACACTTCTCTTAGTTTAAACTGCAAAAAAGACAGCCATTAAGCATAGTCAGAATATATTTTAGGTTAGCGAACACCATCTGCCTCTACATTCAAATCTCTGTGAGCTCAGACTTGTTGGAGAGCCCTTAGGTTTTCCATTGTTATCTAAATAAGCTGACAATATCTAGTGTTTAATCTTCATAGAAATCATACCTTGCTATTCAGGCCCTTTTCTCCTGACAACCACGTTAGACCTACAAAGAGAGGAAGTACAGAGTTCGCACCAAGTTCGTAACTCATTACTTTGCCCCGAGACACTCGCACGTATTTTTTTTTTTAAGTCACACCTGTGTTTGCAATGAGAAAACGTTGCCGCCTCCTGCGGACTGTTGGGATCCCACGAGTCAGTACCGGGGCATCCTGCGGAGTCTATCTCTGTTTCCCTAACATGCTCGATTTGCTTCTTATTATTGTTTTAATTCTTTTTATTATCAAATGAGAGGGTAATAAAAGCAGCGTCTTTTTCTCCTACCGCTATTACTCTCACTTTTTTCACATAGCTTCTCTTCCTAGAGTAAGGTCACTTTTCCCCGTAAGACTTTCTGTGGCGGTAAACTCACACCCAGAAGGACAATTTCACCCGAAATCTTCTGCCTTAGTGAGAATATAGTTGCTTTTATGGTATGCAGAGGTCAATGTTTCCAGCAAGTACTCCTTTTCCCTTTAAATTCCTGCATGCACAACAATAGCCAGGAATGACTTAACTCTTTGGATACCAAATGGCATCTTCAGCAAACAAGTGGGGAAAGGAAACTTTGCCAACTGTTCTTGGGTTTCTCTCACTTCATCCGTTCACGCACAGAACCATGTGGCCGTGACGCTGAAGGAGAAGGGGGTTAATTATCTCTTTATCAATGGTGAGGGATGAAACTTTTCTTCAAGGGCAGTGAGACTGTAATTTGTCAGCGGGAATATATTCTCCCACAAATTGTGCTGTGTGTAGCACAGGTGGCTTTCACCTAAAGGGTTAACACACAATAAAAAGCCTTGCAATTCAGCACAGAATGGTACGGCCCCGGCTGCAGCCTGCTGATTTTTAACCCTAGATTAAGGGCTAGATCCAGAGTATTGGCTACTGTTCACGCTAGACAACAAGGTTTTGGGAAAGCCCTTTGTGATCCAAGAGTGACTCGGGAATCGTGTCCCCTGCGTGGGTGTTCAAACCATTATTACGTCCAATATCAGCACAAAGAGGACCACCATCACCTTACTCCAAGAACAGTAAAGGGAACATGACAACCTCCAAACCAAAATGAGTCCCAAAAGAGCTTTACCCCAAAACTCATGTATTAGGTGGAAACCTTAAATAGGGGCTGTCAGCCAGAAGAGTTCCAGCACTTCAGATCTGGTTTACGCAGAGCCACCTCCTATCAACCCTCTCTTAATTCACGTTGCACCAACAGAAGTTACCTTAAAAGCAGGCGGATTGTTTCTTTCATACACTGAGTCAATAGCTTCACTTTTATCAGGGCATGATTGGTCAGTGTTTTATTCACGGCTGTATTCAACAGCACAAGTAAGATAATAAATTTGCATTGGGAGAGAATTAAACTGTAATGTTAGGTTCATCAGTTCCATCTGTGTTTGTGATCTAAATAATAAAAGAACCTCTTTCTTTCAAAATCCCTTTTGTTACTCCTATGAGATTCATTTTAGATTAATCTCTTCTTTTTTTTCTCTTTTATTTCCAAAGGACATCCATTACCTTGCACTAGATAAGGGTGAATTGGCACTAGCTGAAGTGGCAAAGAAAAAGGCTAATGACATTGATGCAGAATCAATAACTACAGGAATTGGTAAGAATTAATGGTGTTTAAAAAGCCCTTTTTGTTTTAATCAATACTTGTCCTGTACAACACCGTGTTATATTTGTAGGGGAGTTATTGTTTCGATTGCATTGTTTTCTTTGAAAGCGAGACAGTATTTTTATTCATAACTGAAGAGGGAGGCTTATAAAAATAACAGAGCTTTACCTTTCACTACCCACACGAGGATTGTGTCAATGCGATAGCTACGAAGCGAAAAAGATTTATACTGTGGCACTATAGAAAAGTTCAGGTCGTACAGGCTGAACTGAGTGCAAGAGTTAAGGGGCTGAATCTGGAAAGTATGGCAATCTCATTCACCTCTGAATATTTTCTCGTGCGCACTGTGCCAATAACTGGAGTCACATCATTAGTGCTTTGGCAGCATTCAGATGAACCATAGAATCATAGAATCATCTAGGTTGGAAGGGACCTTTAGGATCATCAAGTCCAACCATCAACCCAACACTGCCAAGTCCACCACTAAATCATGACCCTCAGCACCACAGCTACCCGTCTTTTAAATCCCTCCAGGGATGGCAACTCCACCACTTCCCTGGGCAGCCTGTGCCAGTGCTTGACAGCCCTTTCAGTGAAGAAATTCTTCCTGATATCCATCCTAAACCTCCCCTGGTGCAAGTTGAGGCCATTTCCTCTTGTCCTACCACTTGTTACTTGGGAGAAACACTTACTGACGTGAACACAGGCTCATATCCTGGCTCTAAAGTTGGGATTCTTGCAGTTCTGTAAGGAATATCAATGCAAAAATTGCAGGGTTAGACTCAAACACAGACAACTTTTCAGGCAGGGCAACTCATAACTCATTCACTTTCTCCTTGGGTTTCCTCTGAGTTGTCACGAAGAGATATATGCATATATGTAGACTGTTCTGATTTTGGGCCTGTAGCAGGAAGCAAGCAGAAGGGGTCTATGTCTAGGTAGCTGACCCCCAGCAGAGAGAAAGTAGACAAAGGGAAAAGAAAGAACACAAAGTGTTTTGCTTATTCTACTGCGTCTTTGAATATTAAGAGGAAATCGCTGAGCTTTTTGTCCTTGTCCCGTGCCAAGAAGTAGAATACGATCAAGACTCAGAGAGAGTCACAAAACCTTTGAGATCTTTGGGTAACATAGGATTCTTTTAGAACTGTACATCTAAGTGTTTACCCAGAGCATACAAACAAGTGCCGTTCAAATACATAGAAATGCAGAGAGGCGGTATGTGTGTTCGTGTGGCTGTTTCTGTATGTTGTATAAATCCATCACTTGCAAGGCTATGCAGTACAGCATCGCCTCTT